AATAATAATACCAACACTGAATGAAAAAGAGAAGCCATCAGTGTTTTTCCAGTCCTCTCATTGTGGAAGATGTCCTTTTACGTCCTTTATTGTAAGTTTGGCTGTCCCCAGTGCACAATTCCTCCTCTCCACTGAATCTCCGGTATCAAGGCTGCGTTTGATTTCACACAGGCCAATAAAACAGCAGTCAGTAAGATAGTGACTGAACTATCAATCTTTGTAATGCAATCGTGGATGGTGCACCGTGTGTAAATGTTTGCACAGGCATTCATCCAGACCTGCCGTCAAACCCATTGCATTGAAAAGAGGATCTATTCGGGGCAGCCAGGTCCCTCTCTCTCTTTCTCTATCCTTTCTTCCTTTCTTTTTTTTTCAACAGCAGCATGGTATTGAGCCTGATGAGAGTATTGTCTTTTACAGCTCTGTGCATTTTTCATATAGGCTCTGCTTTTATGTTTCATCTATGCCAGCTCAAGGGAGAACAGCTGTGTGGGCCCTAGATCTTCTGCAACTGACAGAGAACTCATTTCACTGGAAGAGACGGGTCAGGGTGTAGAGTGTGATTTTTTTTTTATTTTTATTTTTTTTACCGTGCTACCTGCGGGATCTGATACAAACGGATCCTTCTGCCTTAGAAAAAACCTCAACCAGCACCATGCACACATCCAGATAACTGGAATTATAAATAGAAAAATCTGACCTGTGTCAACGGAGACTCTAGATTTGTGCAATATTTTTCAATGTGTTGGGCCGAAATTCAGACAGCACACATTTTGTGTGGGGCAGTTCAGATGATACCTAGAAAGGATGCATTTATCTTGACATTATGGTACATACGTCAGAAAAATCATGAAAAAAGACCAAATGGAATAGTAGGCAAATTAATAAAAGGATAAAGTTGAATAATTGTTTAAACTGCTATGATAAATACTGCCCTGTTTTTCCCTTTTAATTTTTTTTGTTAGTTACTGTTAAAAAGGTAAAATCTAATTTAAAATCCTTATTAAATAAAAACCTATATTCAAATATATATAATTGTTATAATATTAGAAACACACACACACACACACATATATGTATGTATATATATATATATATATATATATACATACACTTTTTTCAAAGAAAGCAAGCAGCATTAATTTAATCAAATGTGACAAATATATATATATATATTTTTTTTATTTCAAATAAATGCTGCAGAACTTTCTATTCATCAAAGAATTTAGGGTAAAAAAGTATCACGGTTTCCCAAAATTATTAAGCAGCACGACTGCTTTCAACATTGATAATGATAATAATAATAAATGTTTCTTGAGCAGCAATTCAGCATATTACAAAGATTTCTGAATTGTCATGTGACACTGATCATGCTGAAAATTCAGCTTTGCATCACAGGAATAAATTACATTTAAAAAATATTAAAATATAAAGCAGTTATGTCACGGAATGGGTAGATTAAAGGTGTGAGGACTCAAGTACAATGGGTAGTATTTATTAAGTAAACAACCAAACACAAAACTACAAATGAAACTCCCTAGTGGAAGAAAACGAGAATGGTAACAAGCAGAATCAGGAAACACAACTTGGACAAACGAACCAGCACAGGACTACAAACACAGGGAGGCGAAATAGGGGAAAAGACAAAGGATGGTAACGAGAAGGACAGGTGGGACAAATTAACCAATAATCAGATCAAGATGAGGGTCTAGACAATAGACAGGAGAGCACATGGCACAAAGGCATGACAAGCCATATGCTCACAATAAACAGAACTAGAACACATGACAAAGTTATTTACAATTCTAATTTAGAATTTGAAGCCTTGGTGAGCATTGGAGAATTTTATCAAAAACTTTATACAACTTTTACCAACCCCAAATATCCTTTTCTAATATAACCAACATATAGGCCCATCTGGGCCATTTTGCTTACGTTCATTTTTAGCACTTTCCTTTTAGTTTAACTACAGTCAAACATACAGGAACATCTAAATATGACATAACTATACTGAGAGCCACAGATTTGAGTAATTATGAAATCCCAATAATTGCACACCACTTATCTGTACAACCTATACAGTGCCATAAACGCAAGTTAAAAATGTGTCATTTGTTTGAGGAGTAATACCTCCCTCTTGTGTGTTAAAAGCGAAATTGCACTGAGATACTAGTTTGCTCTCTTTCATGTAAGTTTAGCTGGTTTTCCATTTGCGAATGGGTCTATTCAGAGTGTGCTTCACCATCATGGGCCTGACTGTCTATGGAATAATATTCCCCATTCCTGAAAAAAAAAAAAAAAAAAACATTTAAAAAAAGCACTTAAAAAACTGGGATTTTATATAGGAACAGTGTGACATCTAAAGTGTTCTTCAGCATTATGCAACTGTTGTCTCCACTCCATCGAACTGTGTTCAGAAGCCAGCAGGCTTTTTATATTTTTTTTTTATATGCACCACAATTGATCCGCACACTTTTATAGACCTCAGAACCTTGGAGAGGTTCTGTCAGCAATCATTAATGTGGGCAAAAACAGAGAGGATCGCATGAGAGAATGTGCGATTTACTGAGGAAGAAAGAGGAAAGGAGAGCTCAAGTGAGAAACCGAGAGCAGTAATGCATCAGGCGTGTTTTGTAACTCATCCTCCGTGGCTACATGGAGCTCAAGAAAAATCTTTAGCTCTGAAGGAAAAGGTCAAATCCGAGGTAGCCGCTGGTGAGGGAAGAGCATTTTTTTCACACATGAGAAAGCAGCGTAAGGCCCTAACAGGCTGCTAGCAGTCAGTGATGTGCACTTCTCCCAGCTTGGTGCTTTGTCAATGTGCTGTGACTAAGCCAGGGGGGTCCCATATCCTCTCTCCTTAGCCTAATTAAAAGAGGATTAGCCGCCATGGAGTCCCAGACCACTCCAGCGAGCAGCGCATCCGTTCCCCTTACTTTCTCAGGATAATCGCACCTCTAGGATCGACAGGAATGGTGAGAGGGGCTGTCTGGATTGACGCCCAGAAAACGAAGGGCGTGAGAGGAATGACTGTAACCTCCGGTCACTTTGACCATGAGAACATGACTCGTCCACACACAGTCCTTCATCTCCTCAAAGCCCTGCATTAATATTGAGTGTGGTTTAAAAGGGGATATTTATTAATTGGCACAACACACATTGTACTTGAGAACAAATTAACACCCATTTCTGTTTCAGAAGTGTTTTTTTTTTCCATCAGAACAGAAAGAGCCAGTGTGGAATGCTCATCTTGAATATATGTGGCAACATGCATGTACATGTAGGGATATTAATTCTCTATATAATATAGAATCAAAAGATTTTTAATAAAATAATGGCCATACAAATGAGTTTATATTCTATGTGTATCTCAGGGCAAATCTTTATGCTTCGGTCATGTTTTCATATATATATCAAAATTTGGAACAATGAAATGTTCTGAAAATAATATATTGAAGAAAAATCACAAAGTTATGAAAATGAATGTGCACTTTGTATGCACACCCATGTGTGCCGCATGAAATGATAATATGAGATATTGATTAATCAATATCAATCATGTGTGGCAATGAAGACTGGAGAGATTCAGCTTTGCCATCACATATAATATATATGAAAATAGAAAACAGTCATTTTAAATTGTAATAATTCACAATATTAATTGATCGAATAAATGCATCCTTTGTGAGCAGAAAAAAACTTTTTTCAACAAACAGATGAACACTGAAGCAAAATGCAAAAAAAACTAATTTTTTTAATTATTTAAATATGATTATGAAGTGATTTATAATTGTATTTTTAATTGATTGCCTTTTCTCTATTGCTCTACTACAAATTTCCCACGGAGCAAGGATGTGGTACCAAAATGTGATTATATTTTGCATTATATAGCATTTTCAAATTGTTAATTTATGTTTGTATAAAATTATTTTTATTTTTTGTTAATTTCTTATTTTTATTATCAGTAATATTTGATTTTTTTAATGATTGATGTGGTAAATTTGGCCTGTACAACTCCTTCAAGTTGCTTTTCATGGTTATCCTTTTAAGGATTAAAACAGTATGTGGTTTTCCTAAACACGCCCAAATGAAAAGCTTATCTTCAAGAACAATTGGTTCATATTGCAACATTATTATGACTATGAGTAGCGTAAATGAGAGCTTCCCACACACCAACTTAATCTCCTCTCTACCGTTGTATTATTGCCCTATTACACGTAGGCCTGTACATCTCTGTACTAGCTATTTTTGCACTTAACTTTTCATCTGTCACCGTCTCTACCGAATTGATTCTCGAATTAATGGGCATAAAATAATAGGAATTAAAGTAGTATGCAACACATCACTTTACAACATTTGCCAATGTATCCTCCTCCAGGGGGCGCAATGGGGCTCAGAAAGTCATTTTCGTTACCAGAGAAAATTATTTAATAGCCTAAACATCACTTCCAACTTAATGCTTCCAACACGTTGAGCCTGGTTTTAATTTCAAAAGGAAATCCATCCCTACATTCAACTCAAGTGTGTTTTAAACTGCCATATCACATAATTTATCAAGGCTACATGGTGTGGGAGGACGATGAGTTCTGTTGGCGCGAGTTCAAGGTTTCGATTCTCTGATTGGTGGAGATTTAACTGCAGAATTGTGGGTTATGTAGTTTTTGTTTTGTTTTGTTTTTACTTGGAATTTCGCTGTTTAATGCGGCCGGTTATTATATAAAAATGACATACATCCGCGATTAACAACTTTTAAAAGTTTGTCTTAAAAGGTTATAATGTATCTTTTAAAATCCATTTCCCCATGGAGAAAATTAATGCCATTTTTTTTACAACATCGCAACTGAACTGGCGTTAGAATTCTACCCACTTCCGTTTTGAGGTCACAGACAGACAACAGTAACCCACCCACCCGGACCCACCCCTACTCCAGTCCAACTGTCCAACCCTCTGTTCCAACCCCCCAACCTTAGACTGTAAAATGGTCCAACCCCCACTCCATTCCAACTCTCTTACATTCAAAGGGGAGGGGGGAGAGGGGAGCTCAAACGCACGTAGAGTCCGACATGTCCCGTGGAGAAAACCACTACTGAGAAGCGATCTCCTTCTGGAAGGGTTTTGACGATCTATTCCATATCAACCCTGAATAATTCAAAGATATCTCCTACAATGGAAAATAGCAGAGAAACAGCTGCAATGAGAGAGAAAGAAAGGAGGGATCGACAAATAGGTAACGTTAGACTAGTATATTGAATCCATATTATATTTAATATCAGGTCTTTGCATCGTTGTGTGCTTTGCATTGGATACGCCTTGCTTTCAATTCACGTTAACCGAAATGAAAAAAAAAAAAAAAAATAGATAAACATTGGTAGTACGTACGTCCATGCTTCCCCTTCTTTTTCTTCAAGGTCTGTTATTATTGGTAGTGCAGCATGGGCGTGCCGCGTGCCTCTTTTTTGTGCCAAACTGGGCAACAACAGGTGGTCATCATACCCCAGCAACATAAAAATGTGTCCCGTAGCAGTCCACCAAGAAATTCTGTTTTCATCACAACAATGATGACCTGATGTTTTGTTTTATTTTTGTCAGGCCCTGATTTTATTGTCAGGCCCTCTCAAAATAAAGGTATAGTAATGAAAAATGTAACGTTAGCATACTATAGTATGGTGTGATTATTTTATGCAGTATAGTTTGGTATAGCATGTTATGATGTGGTATAATAAAAGTAGTAAAATAAAACAATAGGCCTTATGCATCTGTATTGCTTCTATAATTATTCCGATTATGTGTTGAACACCCTGTCAAAATGCATGGAGTTTAAGATTCAGTTCAGAAGTTCAGATCATGTGGCTTGTGGTCAAAGATCTCTAGAGTGTAATGCAAAGATTGTGAGGTCAGTACAAAGTAGATGATTTAATCATTCTACAATAACTGTGATCACTGTCTTGCTCAATAATCATATCCTATAGCACTCAATCTTACTTTGCTCTGACTGTCCCATCAGTAAATGTAATTTGCTCTGGATGTATTTGCGTCTGCTCAAAGACATGTCTTAGCCCTTATTAGGGGGCAAATGGGCTTGTAGACTAATAGCCTTAGCTTAGGCCACACATACAGTAGCCTTACAGTTACATTTCTCTATAGATCGATGGTGTTACACAATTGATGATACTCCAGGTAGGTGAAATTTGGAAGTTTAACTGCAGAGAAGCATTCATTTGCAATGTGTTTCTTGATTTTACCAATGTGGGTAGAATGGCTATGAAGATGTTCTTAAAGGAGTAGTTCACTTTTTAATTATAATAGGTGAGCTGATAATTTACTCACCCCCATGTCATACAAGATGTCCATGTCTTTCTTTCTTCAGTTCAGTCGAAAAGAAATTAAGGTTTTTGATGAAAACATTCCAGGATTTTTTTTCCATATAATGGACTTCATTGGGAACCAATGAAGGATAGTTTCAGTGCTGCTTTAAACGACACCAGATGATGAATAAGGGTCTTATCTAGCGAGACATTTGATTCATTCAATGAGCGAAATGACTTGAAAAAAGATTCATTCATCTTGATGAACAAGTTCGAACAGGAGAGTCACAAACGCGCATCATAGAACAGAGCAAGGCGAGCATTTGTGCTTATAAAACGTAGACTTTTTTTTATTTATTCTTGAAATGACCGATCATTAGATCTAGATAAGACCCTTATTCATCGTTTGGTGTCATTTAAAGCCATGAAGCTGCACTGAAACTCTCGTTTGGACCTTGAACCGTTTGGTTCCCAATGAAGTCTATTATATGGAGAAAATCCTGGAATGTTTTCATCAAAAAACTTTATTTCTATTCGACTGAATAAAGAAAGACATGGACATCTTGGATGACATGGGGGTGAGTAAATTATCAGCAAAAGTTCTTTTAAAAGTGAACTACTCCTTGAATGTGGGTAATGTGCTGCAGAAGTCCCTTTATGTAAACTACCACTCTAATGCATGCACTTCAGCTTGAAGCTAAAATATTGTTTTTGCATGTTTGAACTCATGTAATCCATCAGTTTTCTGAGGTATGTTAGGGTAATGCACAATTGTGTGTGAATTTGAACCCTTTTTATAGTATAGTAAAATAATGCAAGTTTATGCATAGTCATGCTTGTTTTCCCTTTCAGCCTTGGAGAACACAGACAGTGACATCGGCTTGTGTGGATGGATCCTGGTGATTTTCTCCATTCTGCTCACGTTGCTGACCCTGCCTCTTTCCATATGGATGTGCATTAAGGTACTTAGCGGTGGTCCTTTAATTAGTCTGATGTCATACGGCTTGTTGTCAAGTGCGTTCACTCCCAAGTAGAGATGGCCCACCAGAAGCCACAGCCTTTTCTGTATCTGTATCAAAATTGTTTTGTTAAATTGCACTGACTGATACATAAATCCGTTTTTTAAAAGTATACCAATAAATGTAAAATTTACTGTCAGCTAATATAATATCTATGAGTTGTGCATACCTTAAAAAAAATCTAGTTATTCACAAGCACAACTCGACAAATGATCCATTAGCTAGAAATGTCCCTTCGTCAGTGCAATAAAAAATCTTTTAAAAGAGAGATGAAGAAAGCATGCTAAAGGTTGCCATGTAACATCTACATTATGTAATTAGAGCCTGTTTTACCTTCCACTGTATAAACTGCTGTAATTTAGCTCTTTTTATGAGATAAAAATACTTTATACTTGTTCCTACAGATAGTGAAGGAATATGAAAGGGCAATAATCTTTCGCCTTGGACGCATTTTACGAGGAGGAGCCAAAGGACCAGGTAAAGGAAAAAATCAATATCATTTGATCATTCTGATTTAATCAGTGCTGCTGCTTTAAGTGTTCACACTTCATCAGTGATCACACTTGTGTTGTTTTTTTGTTGTTGTGTGTGTGTGGTTAAATGTTGTTTGCATTTGCGCTGTGGCCATCTACCACAATCCCTGCTTGTCACAAGGCAAAAACACTCTTGTGCTGTAGAAAGACAGAGGTGAAATGTTTTGCATTTCTGCTGACCTGCATTTCTGCTTCTGCTTTTTTCAGTGTCAGGGTAATTCAGTTGAGGACGAAATGCTGGACTATACACAAAAATGCACATTCAATCATTTTACCTTGTTCAATCATGAGCAAATGTAATAGAAAAATATATTACATTCAAGAAATAGGCATCTAACCCAATAAGCACGTATACTTTTCTGAGACGTCTGTAAAAGATCATATTACCTGGATAGCATCACGTTTTAAATCAAGATTTTATTTTAGCAGCACATGATGATCCTATCTTGTATAGTGATCTTGCTTGGATAGTAAAGCTATATGAAAAGCTGCTAAAAATCTAAGGTTGTAATGTGCAGTACTATGTGTGTGGTGTGACTAACCTAAAATTACTGCACTCTAGCCTTCTAAATCATAAAAGTCACTTGACCAGATGTCTGATAACCAACCGTTTTGTTTGTGAGCCTGCTGCCATGATGCCTCATGTGAGAATTCTGGATCAGGTTCCACACAGCATTGTGGTCACCACTGTGATTATGGGATTTTCATGGAGGTTGATCTTGGCGACTGGATGTTTAGTAACTTAAGCTAAAGTACTTGCAAGGCTGCGCTGTATTGATAATCGACGTCAACCATTCTCTTCTTCTACTTTTTCTTTTCTTTACCTTATTCTTCTGCTTAAAAATGTCAGCAAATTCATTCAGCTCAGACCATTTAACATATGGACATTTACCATTGCTCTACGAAATTTGGTCACATTTTAGTTTAGGTTCCAATTCTCAGTATTAACTAACTATGAACTATGACTTGTTAAGTTTACTTATGGGGTATGATTAAAGGAGTAGTTTATTTTTGCTGATAATTACTCACTACCATGTCATCCGAGATATCCATGTCATTCTTTCTTCAGTCGAAAAGAAATTAAGGTTTTTGATGAAAACATTCCACGATTTTTCTCAAGAAAAAAATCTGCTTTTTTTAAAGTGTCATCTCTCTCTCAAGACAAGAAATCTGCTTTTTTTTAAAGTGACTTCTGTGTGAGCTGTGCTTCACACGTTGCTACACTATTCAAATTAGACATTGGACCTTTTTTCCATGTGAAATCTCACCAAAATTTCACTAATGTCAACGTACCCTTAGATATGCTATTTTCGAAGAAATTTCCGATTAAAATTTGAAAACGTCCCATGAAAGAAATAGTTCAACCAAAAATGAAAATTCTTTCATTTGTTCATAACCTTTATAAATTAGTTTTTAGTTAAGATATTTTGAAGAATGTTTGTAGCCAAACAGAATGGAACCAAAATACTATGGAAGTCAATGGTACCTCACAAAATAATTTGAATTATTGGGTAAACTATCCCTTACATTGTTAGAATGTTTCCATTCAAAGTCTAACCAACAATGATGACGTCATTGAAATACTTGCATACTGTGGTTGCAATCGATCTTGTTTCTTGTGTTTATTTGCATATTGAATTGTGATGGTTCTTAAATGTAAAAATGGCGGTATGTTGAATCCTGTGCATGGGCAACAGGAAAAAAAAGTTCTGATGCAAAATTTCATTTACGTAAAACCTAAGCTTACCTAAAGCAAAACTATTCTTTAACTACTTTAGCAAGCACTGAGATTTCCTTTAGGATATTTAAATCTCTTTAAGTTAAAGTTAATGACACTATGGCTGTGATCGTTGTTGGAGTCTCTGGTATATATTTGTCCGTGCTGTGTTTTGGAAAATGAAACCCCAGGGCTTTCCCTTCAGGAATGAACTTATGAGGGTAGTGTCTGTTATTAGATTTAGTCCACCTACTTTATCTCTCTTTTATGCCCATTGTGAACTCAACTTTTTTATCATTAACTTTTCAGTAGTTCTTTTTTGGACAATAAATTCCTGTGGCTAGATGTCCTTTATGCTATACTTTAGTCTTGAAAAGTAAGCTTGATTTCTTGGTTCTCTTCTCTTTTGAGGCTGCTAGCTGGGGTCTGTAAACAATTTGCAGTGGCTCCTCCTCCATGGCTGTATTTAGGGTGGTATGTGTCTGGAATTTTACACAGTAGGTTATACAAACCCCTGAAAAGACTAACAAACCCTGATGACTCTTTGGAAAACCTCCCATTTTAGATTCTAAACTGCAGGGATGACAAATTAAACACATTAAGTATCACTAAAGCACCAGCACAAACACGCACACCACACACGCAGACCTACGTACTTGTCTTCATCGGTACATACTGTCAAACTGTTCATATTGTTTTTTTAGCTATTTAAAAGTTTTTAAAATAATTTTTCTAACTATACTATAAGTGCACTGTTCAACTGCATGTTAACACAAATATCTAATCAGCCAATCACATGGCAGCTACTCAATGCCAAAAGCAGCACTCACAAACACACGCACACTAGTATGATTTTTTTTTTTTTTAGAAATTCATACAGCGTATTCGAATGATGATTGCATTTTTGCTGGCATTTTTGTTTTGTACTTCATTCTCTGTTGTTATTGACTTCCAAATAGATTGTAGTTGTTCTCAAAGACATTTGATGAAACGTTTTATGCTATCTATCTTTGAATCCACTTAATCCAAAATTTGTTCAATAGGATTCAAGTCTGGACTTTGACTTGGCCAATTGTGACTAAAGAGTTTACACACACTGCTGGATGAACCATTACAGAAACATAAAAAATGATTTTGGTAATCATCAATACTGTTAGTTTAGGGAAGCTTTCATTGGTTGGGGGTCTACAAATTTGGGATTTTGTGGATTTAAAGATAGATAGCACAAAAGTTTCATCAAAAGCAAGTCTTTGGGAAAAACTAGAATCTATTTAGAAGTCAATAACAACAGAGAATGTGGAAAAGTAAAAGTAAAACATAAAAACAATTTGTTAAGCACTATTTGTATAGAAATGTAGTGTATGTTCAGAAAATCAAATCGTATAAACTGATGTTACTGTTCTTTACTGTAAATAATTAAAGCAGATGCTAGTGCAATCATTCATTAAACACGTGAAGGCTGTCAGCTGAGTCCAGTTTGTGGGGAGAGTGGTATTTGGTAGATTGCCAGTTGTGAACCTATTGCGGAGCACGTCTGTGTTACTAGGAGAGGAGTTACTGATTATTATTTGTGTCTGCTGCTGCTATGTTCCTCAAATATTTAGCTGTATTGGTGTGTTGTCTCACACAGGTCTTTTCTTCATCTTGCCGTGCACTGACAGCTTTATCAATGTGGATATGCGCACCATCACTTTTGATATCCCCCCTCAGGAGGTGAGACCACATGCATAAACACGAATCTTTAACTTCAGCCTTTGTTTAAACCCATGAAAAGTATCAATTGGAAGGAGAAGTGTGTAATTTTTGTAAACATATTAATACTTTTGCTACACAGTTTAGTGTGCAGGTACTTGACATATTTTTTTGAGAGCTTGTTCTGCAAAAAATCACATACTGTATTTAAATGACAAATATTAAAATCTTTTAAAGACATTTGTCATATACACTACCAGTCAAACGTTATAAATAATATTTATGTTTTTAAAAGAAGTCTCTTGTGCTCACCAAAGCTGCATTTATCTGATTTTTGATATTTTTAAAATAAATTATTTCTATTTTAATGTTAGTATTCCTGTAATGGCAAAGCTGAATTTTTGATACTGTTATAAATTTGTTTCAGGACTTGATGATGAATAGAAAGTTCAAAAGAACTGCATTTATTTGAAATAGGAATATTTTGTTGCATTATGAATGTCTTTACTTTCACTTCTGAGTAGTTTAATATTTCCTTGCTGAATTAAATTATTAATTTCTTTTCATTTTTCATCTTACTTACCCTAAACTTTTGGGAGTATATCACAGTTTCCAGAAAAATATTAAACAGCACAACTGTGTTCAACATTAATAATGCTAAGAAATCTATCTGAGCAACACGTCAGCATATTAGAATCATTTTTGAATGACCATGTGACTCTGAATTTAGGAGTAATGATGCTAAAAAAATAGCTTTAATTACATTTTAAAATATATTCTAATTTTAAATTGAAGTATTATTTTGAAATGCACATCTTTCAAAAACATTAAAAACAAATCTTAATCATCCCTAACTTTAAACTAGTAGTATAGCGTTTTATTGATATTTGTATAATATAATAAAGATTTTAGTGTAGTTTTTCTTGTGTTTTGCTGAAGATCACCCTGATGAATACCCTGTGTGTTTCCTCATAGGTTCTGACAAAGGACTCAGTGACAGTGAGTGTAGATGGTGTAGTCTACTACCGTGTTCAAAACGCAACACTGGCAGTGGCCAACATCACCAACGCTGATGCGGCCACTCGTCTGTTGGCACAGACCACCCTGAGGAATGTGCTGGGTACAAAAAACCTGGCAGAGATCCTGTCTGACCGTGAAGAAATCGCCCATAGTATGCAGGTATCACACTAAACACATACAAACTTTGTAAAAACAAGAGTAATGTTTTTTTAAAGTAATAGATAACCCAAAATAAAAATCGAAGCTTGAAGGAATAGTTCACACAAAAATGAAAATTATGTCATCAATTACTCACCCTCATATTGTTCCAAACCTATAAGACTTTAGTTCATCTTCAGAATACAAGTTAAGATATTTAATGAAATCTGAGCGATTTCTGTCCCTCCATTTACAGCTACACAACAACTACTTTGACACTTGAATGAATTTAGAGGTTTCTTCCAATTTTTGAGAGACACGATTGCTTTTATATGATGAACAGATTTAATTTATTAAACATTGGTCAGTGAACATTCACAGAAGCTCAACCAAACCTGCTTGACTCTCAAGAACAAAGCTCATGCTGAAGTTCAACTGTGCTGCGTCACACGAGAATGAACCTCATTGGTGTTCACCAATCGAACATCCTTGAGCTTTCATTTACCATAACTGATGGGAGTTGATGAATGTTAATGTGAATAAAAGCCTAAATTAAATCTGTTCAGCATACTGTATAAAGTGATTTTTTGTCTCTTCAGAAAATTTGGACTAAACCTCTAAATACATATGGATATTAGTTTTACTTGAAGCGTCAAAGTGGTTGTTGCATCTATGGAGGGATAAAAAGCTCTCAGATTTCATCATTCTTTCTTCCGAAGATGAACTAAAGGCTTACGGGTTTGGAATGACATGTATGTGAGTAAATTATGACGGATAGTTCAATTGAATCAACTAGACATTGCATGTTTTCAGGCAGTGCAGTCATTGTAGCTCAGCTGAGATGCTGACATATCCAACTCGACTCACTGCTAGCGCCTTCCTCAGTTTGCACATGGCCTGTTATTCGCTTTCATCTGACATCCTTTAAAAAAAAAATGGTAAACATTCTTAATGGCAGGCACAGCGCTCATAATCTTGAGAAGCATGAAGCTTTAAGGAATCTCTGAGAAGTTGTTTTTTTCCTCAGTCCACGCTAGATGATGCCACAGATGACTGGGGTATTAAAGTGGAACGTGTGGAGATTAAGGATGTGAAACTGCCCCAGCAGCTCCAGAGGGCCATGGCTGCCGAAGCTGAAGCATCCAGAGAGGCTAGAGCGAAGGTAACATGAGTAGGGATACAGAACTTCCGGTCAACAGTATTTCTCGATAAGGATTTACTGTTGAAGCTACTGATTTACAACTGTTGAAGCTATAAGTTCGTATGAAATCAACCTTGTTTAAAGAAAAACATGTTTTATCCACGATCTTCTGAAAAACAAAACTACACTACCCACAATCCTAAGCACAGCAGCAACATCTGCTGATTGGTCCAACTCGCTGTTTCCACAGAAACTTTTACCTTACTGGCGAGTGGCTAGAGCTACCCGTGGCTGTTGTTGTAGTGTACCGGGTTGCTCTGCATCAGGATGTAGACAGCCATACCTCAGCTTTCACGCTTTCCCACTTGATGGTTTTCATTTAACATCAGAACCACATCGTCATATGTGACTTCAGGCAGGTTGCGGAGAGATTTGGTCCAGCGATATCTATCGGACTCCACCATTGTAAAAAGCTAACTGGAAAAGCCGCATCCCTACTAAAAGACGACTTCCGGTCTTCATTTTGACATATGCCTATTCTTCTTATTCTTCTTTTTTAATGGCGGTTGGCAAACACCTTTTAATGTGCATTACCGTCACCTACTGAAATGGAGTGTGACCAACACAGCTCTGATGATGGTTACAGTTTAAATACTCTCCATCCAATCATAACAGGCCATTGATTATTAAATTACTGGTCACAACAACAATCCCTTACAGCTCTGGATGTAACACCACGCACCCACATACACAAAATATACTCTAGGATAACGGATGGATTTTGCTGGCGAACACATATTAATCGTCCTTTCATGTACATGCATGTACATACTGTAGACCAAATTATTATTTGACTGTGTGGGAGCTGAATGTAAACGTTCACTGTTCTGAGGCAAGATCACCGCAATAGTCTCACAGAAATCCGGAACTGACAACTCCTTTCCTGTTTCCACTAATTTATCTGTTGATTTATGTGAGAGTCTGTATTTTGGCATTTCCAGCTGTAAGCTCGGTTAACCTCTTCTATGTGCGATAGAAGTTGCGTCGCTTAAAAATGTACACATGCTCTCAAAAGAACATGGGAAAGGAAGTTAATGAGTTTATTTTTGGTGCACAATTTCTCTTCAGTGCTTAGTTCAGATACAAGTATGTTGTTTTCTTCAAATCAGTCCCCCTGCCTACACCAACCACACAGCTAGAAGTGGGAAACCACTGTCCTAGTTTGTAAACGGTACCTCTCTGCTTGGAGATGTATAGCAGACACTTTTATATGAAGTAATGTACAGCGGTGGTTCTCAACTCACCCTATTTTGGCACAAACTCATCTGTCATTTTTCGTAGAAATATATTTAGACAGAAATATTAGCCAGATCCTCAAAAATGATGCAAGACAAAGATGACCTAGTATTAAATACAGGTTTACTTGCATTGCAACAAACAAGCATTGTTTGTTCTGATCACAAATTGTTTCGTGAAACCATTAAGAGACAAAATTTGTGCGTATAAAATCTATATCATTTTAGTAATTGTAAATATTTTTCCTATTTTTATTTGAATTCTACATCTTGTTCGACCTATAAATTTTGTGATCAAATTAATGTATTGACATTAAGATTCCTATTTTTTGCCAAATAATTTGGGTGCTGAATCAGGTCATCACTTGATGTCCAATGTACAATCTGGGTCACAAAGTAAAAGCAGTTTAGGTGATTAAAAGAGCACTGCCATAAAGGGCAAAGAAGAGTGCGTGTCTATTTGAAACTGGTTTGAGGGGTGGAATTTTAGTGTGGTATATGTGGTTTGCAAAAATCAAGACGCACTTATTTTTCTCTCACACCGCCTCTTTTGCTCTCTGTAGGTGATAGCCGCAGAGGGAGAAATGAATGCGTCACGGGCACTGAAGGAGGCATCTCTGGTGATCGCAGAGTCTCCCTCAGCTTTGCAGCTGCGCTACCTTCAAACCCTCAACACCATCGCAGCCGAGAAGAACTCCACCATCATTTTCCCTCTGCCCATTGACATGATGCAGTCCTTCCTGAAGCACTGAACTAAGAGCCACATAAAGCCAGCTACGCACACAAACAGATGCATCCATGCAGAAATGAACAGACTGGCCTTACATAATATCCACTCATGTGAGTAAAATGGGCAGCGGGATCGTGAAGTCTGAGACCACATTGAAAAGCTATTAAAAGCTATTAGTAAGCGATTTCTGAGAAACACTGTTGATATCAAACCAAACATTTTTTTCATTGCCCCACCCCTAAAATGCACGAACACGCAATACAAAAGTGGATGTTTCTTAGCTGAAGCAAAATAATGCTTCTTGAAAAATAAATTGAATATGAAAAAGAAGAACAAACACTGAACATAATTATATATTACTCAAGACAAGTCCATTGTTAGTCACCACCAGCTCCAGACAAACTGACACTCAAAACTGTTACAACAAAAGCATATCTTGGTTCTGTGAAACCTACCAAAACCAATGTTACTCATGTTACACAATGCAGCCTCTGCGTCCATAAAGCTTTATTCTTCCAGTGATATTCCTCTGACCTTGTCTCTTTTGCCATCTCAGCCATTTCTCTTTCCACAGTCTTTCTTCAAAACTCCCTCTGGCTCTCTCTCCTCTCCCATCATGAGTCGACACGCCCCCTACTGCTGATTGGCTATAAGTTGTGGCGCTCAGTCCCATCCACTTTCAGTAGTTTCTCAGAACTCTCTTGGTGCACCCTTTAAAGCCCTGAACATTTTAGGATTTTGGAAAACCCCAAAACTAATAAAAAAGTATTATTAAATAGAAGAAAAACTTTTTTGGTCAGTAATCAAATGTGCAAATTGGTACACATGTGACTGTCAGTTGTTCAACATGGCTTTGGATGTTTTGGATCAGACTTTTGGACCCCACTGTGCATATGCCACATACACACTCACAGCTGTTTTTTGATGTATGATCTGTAGATGTTCCTTGTAAAAAACTTGATCTGAAGGAAATCTGATACAGCTAAAGAATATGAAATTCTAAAAATATTTATTAAATAATAAACTAATTTCAAATAATTTATGCCCCTCAACAAAAACAAAAAATGTTTTTTTTTCATACCAAAAAATGTGGTTGTTACAGTGATACAGAGGCCAGAGCTGTCTGATCTTTTAGACATTGATTATTGCAGTGTGTGGTTTGGTTTTTTCGGTTGATAGTTTATGGAACATCTCCTGGTCATATGGGTGCATGTGCTTGTGTTTCAAGCATGTGTAACTAACCTGCTTGGTTGCCAAATGGAAAACAAACCTTCTATAGGGATATTTGGATAGTATCAGATGACAGCGATGCTTATTGTGCCTAAACCAGTTTCTCCTCGCTTTCTCAAACCTTTATTATCGCTGACTTTTTAATGTATAAAAGCCTTAAGCCATATCCATTTCAATTACTGAATCAATATTGACAGGTTTACATGATGTTGGTTGATTAGAGATTTTCACATTAATATTTTATCACTAGATTTTAAAAATCTTTTATCTGTCAGACATTTTCATGCATGTAATATCATATTTTTTTATAATGTCGGTCTGCAGCTGAAAACAAATTAAGGCTATAGAGTTCAATGTTTGTGTTCGTAATTAGCATTTGCTGCTTCAAATATCAGAGGATGGAATTTCTCAAATATTTGTATTTTCATTCTGTATCAGTCACAAGTCTATATATATCTTTGTTCTGTCTTTAAACTCATATATATTGAATACCACATGTTGTTATTACCAGCTCACTTTTATGTGCATTTTAATATTGAATGTTTTTGTTTGCACTGTTTTTGTGCACATCATATATTTTTCATGTGTGATTGTCCCCTTCTCTTAGGGTCATCTTTCTCATGACTTTAAAGTACATAAACTCTTTACTTTTAAACAAAGTGTTGTTATTTATTAGTTGTTGCTTAAATCGGTCTTTGAAAAACACTCTGGAAACCTTTTTGGGGTTGTGGTTCTTTATTGTATAAGAAGTAAAACTGGGAAATAATCTTCATGTTTATATTTCAGGTACAGAAGTATTTGCAAAAGCGGCATTGTTTGGAATATGCCTTATAAAATAAGTTGCTATATGAGTATATGCTGTTGTACACCATCTTTAGGCAGTCAACTGACACCGTGTTTTGAAATGGAGCTTATTCACATCCTTTCCAACATTTAGATATGTGTGCAAATGCATTTTTGTCTCAGTGCATGCATTGTTTTAGTTTGACAGGGTCGGCGCTAGCTTAGCTTAGCACAATGAATGGAATCCTTTGTTGCCAGCTAGCATGTCCTGAGTAAAAGTGAAACCCAGGTAATTACTTCTTGTGGCCTGCGTATTCACAACGAATACAAATATCGATGCATATTAACACTAGGCGATATCCTAGGCAGATATTGACTTGGGACTATATTAGGGGGAAGCACAGACGAAGCACTGCTAAGGCGAAGCACTGCTGCTTGAGCGCATAGATATCACGCAACACATGAAATCCCACGACAAAACATACCGGCGTTCAACGCGTCAAAAAACAGAAGAAGAAGAACATACCGGCATGACCTGCACCGAGTGTCTTCGCTTTAGGAGAATTTATTTTGAGAAGTTATAACAAACATAGGCGACCGAGACCGGAAGTAGGGTAAACTGCAACTGTGCTAGCGCTGTCACCGGAAAAAAATTTACCCTACTTCCGGTCTCGACGGCCATTTTTGTGAAATAGGCCTATTATCTGCGTAAAAGTTTGTGAGAATAAACTAAGAACATACACGAATGTAATGTTTCACAGAATTCCATCGAATGTCGAACTGGGAAATAAATGGCTAGCTGCTCTGGAGATCTGTACATCAACGCCTCTCTACAAAATAAAGTTTTGTGTTTGCGAAGAGCATTTTGCCCCAGAGGGCTAACGTTACTTCGTAAAAAATGGAATATGGGCGCAGAAAGACGGTACTACGTCCGAAAGATATGGCCGTCCCATCTATTTTCAAAGGACAGGCAGAACAAAGTGCACATGTAAGTTGTCTTTTATTACTATCTTCCTTATGTTTATCTGTGTCTATATTCTGTTGTAAAGCCGATGCTGAGAAGCTGTAACTTATCTAGACTACGAACCTCATGTTGAATTCCACCTGTTTAGCATGAACAACCTATCTGAGAAGTCACCCTCTTCGTCTCTCACAAAATCAGCCATTTTCATCGCCAGTCATGTACTGTAAGGAAACTAGTCAGGTAGCTACTATTCAAGCCGGTATGTTTACGAAAGTCTTGGGATTTCATGTGTTGCGTTATGTTTCTGCACCCAAGTAGCAGTGCTTCGCCTTAGCAGCAGTGCTTCGCCTGTGCTTCCCCCTAATATAGTCCCAAGTCAATATCTGCCTACGAAATCTGCATCGCTATTTGTATTCTTTGTGAATACGCAGGCCACAAGAAGTAATTGCGTGGGTTTGTTTATTTTTTTAATCACTTTTACTCAGGACATGCTAGCTGGCAACAAAGGATTCCATTCATTGTGCTAAGGTAGCGCCGACCCTGTCAAACTAAAACAATGCATACACTGAGACAAAAATGCATTTGCACACATCTAAATGTAGGAAAGAATGTGAATACATGTGTTCTATTTCAACAACCTCAAGAAATAATCAGCAGGACCCTTTCCACTCAGTCTTTCCATTGCATATGTGGGTATAGTGAGGCCCCATTTAAAAAAAAAACAAAAAACAGATATGCAAGCAATGACAGGTCCGTGTACTTTTTCGTTCATTCATTGAATCTATTTCGGATGGTTTAACAAGCGCTTTTATCAAGTTCACTATACCGACACTGATAAAACTGTAATGGAGAATTGATTTTGGTTGAGCTAGAAATCCCCAGCATATGAATCCTAAACTTTGATATTTAAAATCTTCGATAAAGGCAGTATTAGTTTCTTTGAAAAGTCTTGCAGCGCCCTCTGCATGTAGAGGGATGTCATTGCTCACTTAGAATGACCATTGCTTCGTTTTGAATTAGTAAAAAGCTTACTACTTACTGAAATTAAATAAAACATACTGCCCAAATAAGAATAGCAAGTAAAACAGGCATTCATAATTAATATGAATAATTCACAATGAACGTTTTAAACAATAGTATGCTACATCCTCGTCACATGACCTGATCGCAATGCACAGTAAATTGTGGCCATCTTGTTTGAAATTTTGCATTTTTAAGCCAATTTTGGGTTAATATCATATCTTAGGTTTTGACAGTCTTATTAAATAATTTAAAAATTGTAATACTGATATTAAGTTCTGGAACGTTCAAGAGTGCAATCAATGTTATGATAGTATTTTTAATTTTCTTAATTTTCCTGTTAATGTAGGCAATTTATTCATATTTTGAATTGGCTTGTTCGTTTTAGTTTAATTTTAGTTGTTTTTTGTTATATGCTTTTCTCATTTTCATTAGTTTTTGTTCTATTTTAAATGAATTTATTTTACTTTAAAACAAAACTAATCCTACAACTTGTCACATAAAAAAGGTTTCTGACAGATTTTGATAAGAATATCCTTGTATATTTTCTGATACAGGCTCAAGCACTTCAGAAACATAAGGTGTACAGACTGAAGATAACAACCTAACCAATACATTGTTAAACACATGGAGAAAAAAACCCACTTAAATAACATAAGCAACAAGGTGAAGATTTTTTATGAGGTTCTATTTGTGCCAAAAATGAGTTAACAGCTTTATGCGTTGTACTATACATTTGTCCTTGCCTACAGTCATTGCCTATTTGTTCAGATAAATTCTTGTTATGTAGTCTTGTCTTGGCACAGTGTGCACAGATATAAAAACAGAAAACAAAATAAAAGTCTTATCAGCCAGAAAAATAAAGTATACAAAATAATTCCATTCATTCATGTGTTTGACCTCATTATCCAAATTGTGTAGATTTTTAGAACGCGCAATAAACACCCTTTAATCTGATTTTGACATTTGTCTGAAAAAAATTAGGTATGGTAAAAATTAAAATTCACTCCCTGGCATGCTTATGGAACAGTTTCCCTTGTTACCACTCTAAACAAAGCAACCTTGTGCTTAAAATCACTACTTTGTTAGCATTGTACTGAGCTATTATGCCATCGAAACATTTCTAAAGACTGTCCTCTTCAGAGATGCATGGGGTCTTTCACTGTTCTCTTCATATGAATAAAAAAGGAGACCACAGAGATGAATGACAGTAAGAACGTCAGTTGACAGAACAATACGACAAAAAACATTGAGCATACACATCAACATACACTAATTTATCTGAACAAGTAGACAAGAAGAAATGCATACTATAAAGCCCAAAGCAGTTGCACAAATGGAACCTAATAGTAATTATGAAGTTGCCTTAAGTTTGGTGACTGATCCCCAGGCCAGTAAGGTACTTGATTTAAAGGTAGCCCTTTTTTACTGACCAAGGACCAGCTTTGGTTTTTGAATCTATAATTAAAACCTCAAGCATCAAATTGGGTGTATCTAAGGCTACGCTCAAACTGCAGGAAAATGTGGCCCAAATCTGACAAATACGCGACTCCGATCTGTTTTTGTCATGACAATGTAAACAGCACAAACCACATGGAATCTAATCTGTTCGATTCTGATTTGGGCCACGTCCATATGTGGATCATATCAGAATTCATGCGACTTTTGCGCAACTGTAGATTGACATTCGTCATAATTCTCCGCTCATGGGGATCACTTCAAAGATTTTACATACTGAAAGTTATCAAGACGGATAGTAAGTGAAGGACAGTGATGTGTCAGAGCTCATAAGTATTACAGTGACCGCTCTATATACAAGCAAAACATCATAAATGTTTAAAAACTCTGCTCTCTTTTGTTGCATCCTCGCCTTTTTTTAATATTGCGAGTGCATAAATTTCGCTGGGATCAGCGGCAGATAAAAGAATAAATAAAGGCATGATCTCTTACTCTAATGTCCTTTGTTTACATATGACAGTGTGACATCTTTTTATTGTTCTTTTGCATATGCGGGTCAGTTCTGGTCGTGGTGGAATCTCATATTGGCCAATTGGATCTGAGCAATAAATGGGAATTGAGCATTAAGGCTTGCAGTGTGAACGTAGCCTAAGAGCAACTTTGATCAGCTTGCAGTAAGGCAGTGGGTCTAAAGGTCAAGGGTGACAGCTCAAGTTCAGATCTCCAGCTCAGCCATGGCCCGCTCCAGGGGGTCAGTGGTCCAGTAGTCATGGTCCCAGCCCAGGAACCAGCCTGTGAAAGTGGGCGGCTCAAAGCCCTGTTTAATCTTCACAATAGGTGTGCGCGAGTCACGGTTGGCTGGGTCCGTCTTGATGTATTGTTCAGCTGGAGAGAGAAAAAGAAAAGATTAATAAACTACACAGTCTGCTTTTGCTGTTTAAAAACAAGCGCATGTTTTTTCTTTCAGTACTGCCACCTACTGGACTCTAGGATGGACATAGATCCTATTTATTGAAAAAATGCCTCATGACACTACCATTCAAAATCTGTTTTTTTGGAAAAAATAACTTAATAATTTTGATCAACTTAATGCGTCCATTCTGAATAAAAGTGACAGTTAAGCTATTTACAATGTTACAAAAGATTAGGGTCTAATCCTCACTATTAACTAGTTGCATATTAGCATGCATATAACTAGGATATTGGCCGTTTATTAGTACTTATAAAGCACATTATTCTGGATGACAATATTCCACATCACTTAATTCTATCTAATTTCTCAATATCTAAACTTAACAACTATCTTAATACTATTAACTAACAAATAAGCAGAAGTACAGTGTGAGGCAAATAGTTGTTAACAGTTAGTTAAACTTAATAGTGAAAATGGACCATAATTTAAAGTGTGGCCAAGATTTCCATTTCAAGTAAATGCTTTCTATTCACCCAAAAATTGTTGAGTGCCAAATATTTCTGAATGATCATGTGACACTAAAGATTAGAGTAATGATGCTGAAAAATCAGCTTTACCATCACAGGAATAAATTACAGGAAAATATTAAAATAGAAAACGGTTCATTTAAACAGTAATAATATTTCACAATACTGATGTTTTTACTGTATGTTTAATCAAATAAACGCAGCCTTGGTGAGCATAAGATACTTCTTTTTTTTTTTTTCCCAAAAAATATTTAAAAACAAATCTTACTGATTCCAAACATTAGAATGGAAGTGCACTCTTCTCCATGTATGTTATATATTTTTTTTATATATTTTCATCCATGCAATTAACCTTATACATTTCAACCAAAGAAACTACCATTACGTTTTGAATAAAATACTGACGTAGTGTATACTAGGTCAATTATGTGCTTACTTACTTGCTTACTGTTTATTAACAATGGCATGTGAAACAATAGATGTGATTCCAAAGACACTGAACAGTACAATACTACATTGTTGCACAGTAAATGCAATAACTTTTGGCAGTTTTATCAAAAAATAAATAGATACAGTGGATAGATGCAGTATTCCATTAAGTGCTCTAGGTCATTTGAATATTCTACACATAGAAAATAATGCTTGCATACTTAGCATGTATGCATACTAGTATAGTAGAAGTAGTATGGCAATATTCTACTCACCTGAAGACATCGCCTCAGTTTTCTCCTCATCATGAGCTTCATTACCGATCCAAACAAACACCTGTAAAACACATTAAGATTCCCTGAATGTCAGTTGCATGTCATTACATTAATAAAATAGCTCTGTTTTTATAGATTATAGATATAGGGGAACTCCTAGTAATGTAGAACAATCCTGTTAATGTAGGCAGTTTACCTGATCCCAGGTGTCAAGGATCATGACATCATCTGTAGCCAGGTCTTCTTGGGTCATTTCTCCAGGCACTTCTTCAATCTGCATGGATATCAGCGCATCAATATTGAGTGACTCTTCATCATACTACACTTACAATATTCTCATTCAAATCAGGGCAGACTAAAAAAAATCTGTGTGCGTTACTCACGATGAAACGGCCAGTTTTGTTTGAGCAGGCGAACAGTCGTGGCGGGTGGGCATTCATCTTGTCCTTTAGCCTAGCGGATGTGCGGTAATCGACCTTTCCTCCCAGAGAGTCCCAGAAGCTGCCTGCAGCGCATAAAAGTATATTGAGCTTAATTATGAGGATCACATTTTTGAAGAAGAAAATGGGACAAATAATACAAATATCAAAATTATAAATAGGACATAATAAATAGTTATTAAAATGGTCACTGGGAATTAAATTTTAATTAAAAAAAGTTACATACTACATACAATTTTATTTTTCATGAATTCTAAAAGGAACTTTCACCCAAAAATTAAAATTCGGTCACATAAGTCATATAGACCACTTTTATGTTGCTTCTGTGTTTGTTTGGTTTTTGCAATAGTCTTTTCTTCCCAGTTGTGATGTACAGTCGAGTGAAACGACTTCTCAAACAAGAAAAAATGTAGGGCGGGACTTGATTTTGTCAATCAGGTATTGATTGGATGGTTGTGGTTTGCTATTGCTGTGATGTCATGTGAGTGACAGGTTGTCCCGCTCTCATGCCAGTAAACACATTATCAGAAAAGAGAAGAGATGTCACTGTGGGAGGCGAAGTTATTTTGATTAAAGATTATGAGGGCACATTAATTTAAAAAAAATAATAATAATGATAATGATGTGCACGGATAAATAATAAATACTGCAATATTACTTTTGATTTCATGATGACTTTAAACCTTGAAAGAAGCTTCAGTCCCAATTTATTGTAATTCTATGGAAAAGAGTGACCATCTTTGTAATTTCTCCTTTCGTGTCCATGAAAGAATGAAAGTCGTACAGTTCTGGCACAAAATGAGGATGAGTAAATGATGACACAGTTGAACTTTTACGTAAAAAGATTTCTCACCATCCTCTCCTCCTTCACTCAGGTCAGAGGGCGACACTCCAAGGATGTCACACAGCTGCTGCGCCCCACGTTTCTCTGTATCACTGGCTCCTCGTCCACCCATATGAAAGACGCAGCTGGGTCACCAGCACGAAGGCATCATTGGAGTTCAGATTGGAGGACACTGTGTCAATCTGGAGGAACAGCAAAATGTTAGAGGAGGATATTTAAAACTTCTCACCAATTATAAACTTCAGATGCTGACCTCCACCGCTCTTGTGCACCCTGCGGAGTTTGAGCGCACTTGGAACAGCCGAGTTTCAGCTGGCGCCGTCTGACCACTTTCCCTGGAGGTGCCGCCCTTGTGCACCACCATGGGCTGCCCTCCGAACAGACTGATCAGGTGAGCAGGTTCCTTACCCTGGACCACCCGCACCTGAAAAAAAATACACAGTGAGTAGACATTAAACAGAGATAACATGCAGTCATTCTTCTGCAAAATGTAAAGTGGAAAGAAAGATATTCTGATAACACTGTCATGTTTGCCCTATTGGTTTTTCAATTGAGAATTGCATTTAATTCCACAGGGTGGCACTGTTGAGCTCACTTTGTGGAATGTAGAGCTAATGCCAAAATTTCCAGCATCCTTTGTGGTCAGCATGATGACTGTGCAGAGGGCTGTTCAACTTTAGGAGAAAGCAGAGCTTTATTAATGGTCGAACTAAAGGGTTTATTTTTTTCCTTCTGCCCCAAAAATACATTAGCGTTTTACATTACATTTAGAGTTCCCATGATAATCTCTGCTGAATCATACGGTTGTATTTATTGCAATATAATCTTATTCGTTCATGTTTCCATGAAATCTTAGTTAAAAGGAAAAGCATTTTGTTTTTAAATAGAATTATTTTATAACATTATAAATGCAACCCACACACACTTAAAACACACTGGTAGTGTACACTAGCTAGACCAATACAGACAATGGGACATTCCTGTTGTCTACTGTGTTTTACACATAAACTACATTAGCATGCTAAATGTGCTAACTTAGGTCTAGTTTACTGTGCATGACAGCATGCATTAATCTATATTAAACATATAAATCAGTCACACTTTGAATCAATTCAAAAATAAATGTGAATGCATGATGGAGCATTTCTGTTAATGTTCACACATGCTCAGTCCCAAAAGTAATCTGTAAATGTGGAAGACAGTTAGTTACTTGTGCAAAATGATG